GTGAAATGTAAGATTTTAAGTAGACTACACAAATTATAAAGAGGAAACAACAATATTCACCATATCTACTGTATATCTATATGTCCTTCACATGCCATTCCACAAAAGAGGATATTTGGAAGAATGCTGGTAACCAAACATTGACTTCCATGTTATGAAAAAAACAAAAAAACATGGGAGTCAATGGCTATCGTCAACTGTTTAGTCTTCAAAATATCTTCTTTTGTGTTCAAAAGAAGAAAGAAACTCATGCAGGTTTGGAACAACTTGAGAATGAGTAAATGATGACAGTTTTCATTTTTGGGTGAACTATCCCTTTAAGGTGCTATAGAAAGCAGATTGTGAGTCATCTGACATTTATCCAATATACAACTGTAAATAGTAATTTATTTGTCCTATTTTCCAATCGAGTTTCTTTAAACATATAGGAAGATGTGCTGAGCTGCCAATTGCCAATGTACATATATATCCATCAACCATCTGCACCTGCACTGTGGATGTGATTCATTTAAATGACCACCAGGGGATAGCCTTGTGCCATGTCTACCTATAAAATCTAAAACATTGCTGAACAACATCTCCCATGCACGAAAATATAGTAGTATAATATATCACACAAGTAATGATGAGGAACAGACCTATATAGGAAGACCATAACTATTAAAAAAATAGACTGTTATATATACCATTATGCAACCACGCACAAGGTCTTTTTTTATGATTCTAATTTTTTCCACCTATAGACTTGATTTAAAGGGGAAAAAATCAAACAACCTCCAGGGAAACAATCAATCGTTCAAAATTCCTATATTCCTAGATAACATTAAAATTAAATGATATCAGTCTCTCTTACGACTTACTTCATTATATATTCTGACATTCATATAAGAGACGATTAGAGGTATTATGTAGCCTGCACAGTATGAGTTCTGGGTAAACCCTTAATTTATTTATTTACACCCTAAACCCATTTCTATTTATTGATTTATCTATCTATCTATCTATCTATCTATCTATCTATCTATCTATTTTAATAATTACTTACATGATATATACATACATTTAAAAAAAATAATTATTTACATGAGGAAACCAAGCATTTTAATTTATGGCTACTCTGAGTAATCAGGTCAAGGGTTGCCATGCTAGCATTCTGTTTTCGGTATTAATAGTGGTTTGCATACAAAACCGGTTATAATAAGTCAGATATACAGTATGTGCTCAGATTTAATTCACTTGCCCTTTTGCAGTGACTCACTCACCAGGGTAAGATGAATTCTCGAAGCTCATTTTGTTTTGAATATTGAACTCTATTTTGCCTCTGAAAGGTCATTCGTAATATCTTAATAAAGCAGCCAATTTTGACAGCAAAATATAATCACCTTCCATTTTTCTCAAGCAAATGGCTGTACCACCCAGTTCATTCTGAATTCTGAATCTCAGTTGGAATCACCCTCCCTCTATCTTTCAGGATTTATGTGGACATTGATATAATATACGGCCTCTATTATACATCCCCGGCTGATTATCATGGCAAAGTCCGGTGCAAATACATGTCAGAAATGTTGCCTCATCCAACCCCTTTCTCACGGAATCATTTACCATGAAAATGATTAATACTGTATAAGCCTCCCGAGAGCACAAGCACAGTACCCATCAACTTGTCTAACAGGAATTAAACATTCATCAAAATTCAGAACACCTCCTTGTCATACAGAGCTGAGCCTCTGTGATGGAACAGCACCGGGGATCTCTGCGGTAGAGGAAGTTTAATGTATGCAAGACTGTATTATTATACTTTACTTTCAAGCATCTGAGAAAAGCATGTTGATTAAGGATCAGCTTTTATGATTAAGAGAGAGAAAAAAGGCGAGTAACTTGTTTTCAGATCAGTTCTCAGATACTGGTTGAGGCCCCCCAAGTGCTGAAATCCCATCAAACATTCTGGCTTCTCCCGCTCTTTCATCTATGTTTCCCACCTGGAGGCCTGTAATTCCACTGCAGATACAAAACTGGAACAGAAATGAACTGCAATCCATCTCCAACGCAGAATCTCCCATTCTCAGCATCTCTCCAATTTTTCCGACACTTTATAAAAAATGATATTGAGAAAAGATATTCCTATATCAAAACGTCCCAGTCAATTTTGAATTATAATGAAGGGCAAAAATTGCTCATAGACTAGCAATGACATACATTCATATCTAGACATACTACATATAACAGTAAAAAAGCAATAGGTCCAACAATATGATTTTATGATTTTTTTAATATAACATGCATGAATAAAACAGTGTTGGCCTCTTGAATTTTGATGTTTTTATGTTCTTACAGCCAATAATATACGGCAAAAAAACAAAACACATCTATCTATCTATCTATCTATCTATCTATCTATCTATCTATCTATCTATCTATCTATCTATCTATCTATCTATCTATCTATCTATCTATCTATCTATCTATCTATCCAAAAAAGGTACCATAATAGACGGCATAATTATGTTTATTCACTTTTGGAACAGGCTTCATGTCGTTAACATAGGATAAATTCAAATGTAGATATTTATTGATGGCCATTAAAAATCCCAGCGTACAGTATCTGTTCAACTGCCCTGACAGACAAAATAAAGCCATGAAGCTTATTTGATGGAGCTGTAACACATCTGAAAAGAATTCGCTGACTAATGTATCTGTCAGTCTCTCTGGCTAATGCACTTCAGGCTGTCCTCAGGTCAGCCGAGACAGCAGTGATTTAAAGGATCACAGAGTGAGCAAGGTGACTTTTGAGTTTCAAGTGTCCCAGTACTGGACTTTGAAATGGCCTGGTACTTGAAACACGCTCTTTCATAGAGTTCCCTCCTAGCTTATACGCTTACTCTTCTAGAGTCTTTCATTTCTCTAAGCGTGCTCTGGTCGTATAGTCTGCTCTGTCAAAAGGCGAAAGTGCTGGACAGACTCATCTGGAGGACTGAAATTCTCAGAGCGTTCTTACAATTCAGTTTGGTTGCAGTAGATTAACTGACTCTGCCTGATGTCTGGTTATATCGAGCAACGGCTTTCCCTAGGGCAACAATACAGGGCTATATGCTGCCAGTCTGTAGTGCCAGAAAGAAACCAATTTATTTGAACTGATATAAACACAACAAGCAGTGCTGAAACGAAAATCAAGCAAGTTTGATTAGTGCTAGAGTTATTTGAACAAACCAAACTTACCATTTAAACTTATATTGTGTGTGCCTCAAATCATTCGGTTTGTTGATACTTTTCAGAGTGATCAGACTTACAATTTTCACTCAAAGTGGGTGAAAATAACATTGGATTTTTATCTCTAGGCTTTTTAAGTAGGTACAGTAAACAACAATCTAACAACAACCCAGAACTCCCTAGCAATCATAGCAACAACTTAATATCTAATCAGTGAGATTCGCATTGTTTCGGAATCTCCATGCAGAATTCACATGTTGTTTGCAACTTGTTTGCTTTGGTTCTGGCTCAAATGATCATTTACTTGTAACAAAACGCTGCTACTCATTCTAACCGACTGAAGCTTGTTATCAAGGTTGCAGGCAGTGTATTTGTGTCAGAGATGTCAATGAATATATTAATCTTTATGCCATGGCTTGACGTACTCAGTTAAGCAGAATTGTCAAATAATCAATTTTTCCCGCACATTTCATTTTCTGCCAAATGGTTTGCAGCAATTCCGACTCTGAATTGCTTAAGGTCTTCTTTTAAATTCTTCATATGACGTAAAGTGTTTCATTGACATTGGAGATGACAAGCAGTTTCACTTGACTGAGCTGGTTAATGATTTTTCACATTCACATTCAAAGCCAAATTTAACAGCAAGTCACCTGCTGAAGTCTTCCAAGGAGGAACAACGGAAAGCCAATATTACATGATTAATTTATGTTCACCTTTTGAACACCAGACGCAGTTACAATGGAATGCAGCAATCACAAAATATTTATTCACTTTCTCAACCTGTTTCTAAAGTGGTGTTTCACACCTAACAAAAACAATTAATTATAGTGCATCTCTAAAGTGGATGCTGGCCTGTTTTGCTGACATGAGGAAGTGTACACATGTATTTAGATTGTATTAATGGCTCTTGGAAGTAGGCCAACATTTGTTTATTTGATTCACCAATTGGCAGGAGAAAATCATGTAATGTTATTAATGATCTTCTGATGTTTCTCATAGGCCCACTTCCTCAGACCATAAACAGTGCTTAGGAGAGACCAGTGAATTTTGTAAGTTGTAACATGGTCAGTTTAACCAATTAGAAATGGAAATGATTTGAACATGACTATATAACCAACGTATATACACACACACACATATATATATATATATATGGTATGATTAAGTGCATTTGCATTGAATAATTTGTGGTAATCACAATTATTGTTATTATTAGTTTTTTTATATATATTTTTAATTCTTCATATGACGTAAAGTGTTTCATTGACATTGGAGATGACAAGCAGTTTCACTTGACTGAGCTGGTTAATGATTTTATATATTTATTTTTATATTATATATATATTTTTTATTAAATTGATTATATTATAGGATTAAAGTTTATATATATATATATATATATAAACTTTATATACAGTATATACACACACGCTTTAATTTCTGCTACAAATTTGAGTAGCTTTAATTTAAAATGTTATTTAAGATACTCTAATTTGTAGCAGACATATATGGTAATATTATATTAAAGTTGGAGACACGGTGTTACAGACATTGAAACAAAATATTCCACTAATAGCCAAACGAACCAATTTCGAGACAGTAGGGTACATTAATTTCAAGATTAAAATTAAAACCAGTGCTAAATAATAATTCGACAACAGTATTATTAAATGATTAAGCAATAAGACAAACGGCCTGGGGATATGCAGCAAATACAAGATTAGGAAACTAACCCAAGCATTGCAATTCAAACGCAAAGTCACATTACTTGAGCAAATGAAAACAGCGGGTTCTTGTAATCCTGTGGAAGCCTATCCAAACAGTCCCATAAACAATACCTCACTGAAGGAGGGACTTCTCAGCGCCTGCGTAGGTGAGTGAATGAGTAAGTGCCTACTTCACAGTTACTTGGAGCCTGGGACTACACTTCCACTTATTCCTCCGGATTTTCAAATTGGTATTTGCAAGAAGGAAAACAATCACGCAGACCTCACGCGCACTCGATTCGCTTCAGACGCCATGCAGAATCCCGTGTACTGGGTCGTCCTGGCTGGAATATCCATCGCTTTGATTCAACAAGGTAAGATATTTTCAGGAGATTTAAATTTAATCCGGAAAGTGTTTTTTTTCATTGGCTTTGAGTGGAGATTGTTGTACGCATCTCGTGTTGGACGCGCTCGCAATCAATGAAGACAAGTCCAACTCTGTGGCATTATGCGGTTTGTTGATTCAACAAGGTAAGATATTTTCAGGAGATTTAAATTTAATCCGGAAAGTGTTTTGAGTGGAGATTGTTGTACGCATCTCGTGTTGGACGCGCTCGCAATCAATGAAGACAAGTCCAACTCTGTGGCATTATGCGGTTTCAAACTGTTACGATGGGCGTAATTATGTTTGACGTATTTTCAGCATTTTAGACGGAGGACTGGTGGATTGACTTCATATTCGCGTTTGAAAGTTTTGTGAAAAGCGCACTGGAGATGGTGAGAGGACGCGGTCCTTCCAAACGCGTGCACTTGTTTCACATCTGCGTGACTGCGCAACAATGTAATGAGTGAGTTTGGAGAGCAGCTCCCATCTTTTAGTTTCTGATCAACTGGTTTAAGTTGGTTGCAGAGATATACTGTGTTTTGCATAGCTGAGTTAAGACGGGCTAATCTGCCGAGGCAACGAGCCCGTGCTTAACATATGCCCTGTCAGGAGGACGCGTCAGTGGTCTCTCTTGCTTGTTAAGAGTAATGTGTGCATTTTATATAAGAGGGGTAGATCACTAAAAATGTCAAATTCTGTCATCATTTACTTACCCTCGTCTTTCAGAACCCACACATGGAGAAAAGTAGGAACGTGATATGGCTGACTTTTTCCAGGCAAAGAATGAATGGGGGTGAATGTCAAATATATTTATAAAAAATAATTATAAAAGTAGTCTGTATGTCTCATGTGTTTAGTCTTCTGAAGACTTACGATAACGATAATGTGTGAGGAACAGACCGAATATTAAGTCGTTATTCATTGAAAATCATGAATTCCGCTGTACAGTAGCTCTCCCAGGGAATGTTCAGGACTGAAGAAGATCATGTCCGATTCGTAAATGAACGATTCGCGTTTTGGATTTTTTAAGGAATTGATTTATCCAGTTCAGCTAACCAGTTCAGTTAAAAGATCTGAATTGTTTGTTTGTAAGTCAGATTGTTTTGATTCATAAGTTCGACCTGTCCCATATGGCACCCTAAACCCTCACAGTCATCCTCTGAGTCCCTGTCTCAAATCGCACCCTAAACCCTTGTGGTCTTCCTCTGAGTCCATACTTTCATGACGTAATGCCGCTTTGACTGTTGGGTAGAAGTCTGTTGGGGAGCTCGCCTCAGTGCGGACTCAGCAGAAGTGTGCAAAGGGGGTGCTCGCCAACACCCTTCTGAAAGCTAAAATGATGAATGGGACACCCTATGGTCTTGTGGATTGCAAGACTGTAAGTGCACATGAAGTGTGCCATTTGGGACAGTCCACATTTGCCTGAGTCCACACTTTTGTAACTTAATGGCGCTTTGACTGGGTAGAAGTTAGTTACGGAGCTCGCCTCAGTGCGGACGCGGCACAAGTATGCAAAAAGCAAAAATGACGAATCGAACACCCTACAGTCTTCTGAAATGAATGGACACGGGCACATGTGGTGGTCATTGTTAGTCCGCAAGAGCAAATTAAGTTTGTCGTTTGGGACAGGGCCTTCATATGTACTTGTGGTCTTGTAGACTTACAATGGCCGCCAAGTGTGCATGTCAGTTAAGTCCAGTGGTGTAGTACTCAAGACCGATCTTAAGACCATTTTTTGAAGCTCTTGTCTTAGTCTCAACCTAATTTGTACGCGGTCATGTCTTGGCTAAAGGACTAAAACGACTCTGTATTTTATTTCAAGACCAGTCAAGACCACAACTGTAGGGATATCACAAAACTTGCCAGTGCATTGTCTGATTTATTTGTTAACATCATTAATGTGATGATGTAAAACTTACTGAACATAAGCAATATCACAAGAGCAAGAGAGCTGTTTTCACAAATATGAACACGATTGCAAACCGTGATATTGATTTTATCCTGTTAGCTTTCCACTGTACCACCCGTGGTACACTGCGTGTTTTTGAGGGTTAACTTCATGACATATAACAACTAAAAAAAAAGCGAAACATGTCACATATATTTGGAAAGCTGAGATTCTTGTGATTCAAATGATGCAAACTTTTTAAAGATACAATCAACACAGCAGGTACAATCAGTGTCTTTGTCAGACCACCAACAAGGCTTCATGCTGCGATCCCATTGTGTTTTCCAGCTAATAGCTCTCAGCTATAGTCATCTGCAGGCATCTGTTTACAAAAAAATGTAGGCGGAATGTTTTTATCCTTTTTCAGTGTGTTCAAACAAAGTTCTGTTACTCAATACCAGTAAGACTTACAGGGATTCTTGTTCTGTTTAGGAACAAACCTCAGAGTGTCCCCTTTCGAAAGAGACCAAAACCATGCATATACTCCAAATCGTTCAAGAACAGCATGCAATTTACTTTGGGTATGCCTTTTTTAGGCGTTTAGGCAAATTTCACAGGAATGCTAAGGGGTTATACAAATGTTCAATAAAGAAGAAGTTAATATTAAGTGAATTACATTTTAGACACAATTTTAATTATTATTATTATTATTATTCAGTTTTTGTGGCTATTTCTGGAAGGAAAGTAGTTCCAAACAAATCCATAGCAGAACTGTTGTGTTTCTGAGCAACACACAGCAGTGTTTCATTACTAAATAAATCAGCTGCTTTGAACGAATCGTTTGAATAAATTATTCTGAGACACACTCAAGTGATTTGCCACCACCTCAGCTACTGGCAGTTTTAGTCTGATATTCATATTCATTTTATTTTTCCATCATATTTCAATATTCAACATTTTATTTGAAAAACGTTAATCTCAACAATATTTCAGCAGTTGTAATTGTACCAATTCAGATGCAGCCTCTGCAGTGCAAAGATTAATTCTATTGTTAGTGATTTCATTTGATTGGTAACTGCTCTATATAGTCTTATTATTCTAATTGTATTTATTGATTAAATATTAGAGATTTTTCAGGCTGTAAATGTGGATCTTTCAGATGAATTTGAGAATTCAAGTTCAAGTTTCTCTTTTATTGTCTCCCTTAGGAGAACTGACTTTACAATAGTTGTAATACAGAGAAATGAAAGTCTATGGCTGGATGATATAGTTGAAATGATTTCGCTGACCATATGAAATTAAACAACATAATGAATGTCTAGGGGATTTTTATTTGGCCATTAAGTTTCTGTATTGTGTCATTAGACTTCAGTTAATTTGCATTTGTAATCTTAATTTTGTGGAAAAATCCCTTAACTTATAGCAGTCACATACTTATGAACTATTCTATGCCATTTTATACACAGTATGAGTTATGTGCTTACTGAAATGTCCAACATGAATTGCACTTTTAACCAGATGATGTGCTAATTTAACAAAAAAAATTATAAAAATGGAATGTTGGGCACTAAATTCACTCACTGTTTTCCTTGTATATCAACTAAAAAACGGCGGTCAGACCCTCTTAACTTTTCCATGAGCATCAATCCTGCTTGTTTATTCCGCAAGTACTGAACAAAATAGGCTTCATATATGTTCTAATGTGGCCCCATCACTCTTCATTAAACATCTGCTGCAATGACGTGAGAAGATTCTGTCAGACATTGTGCTCATTCACAAAAGCTGTTGCAGAGAAGTTCAGCATTGTGTCCAGTGAGTGATTCTGTGAAGTATGAATGACCCAGAGGTTTAGATTAGGACTTGGTGCAGTGAACATCCATACATGCGGCTATTCATGGGTTGTCACGTCTGAAGAATGCAGCCTTCATAAGTTGGCTGTCCAATATTGCTGTCTCTATTTAACCAACATGTCAAACAAAATGCTATTGAAAAATGCTGACGTTTCAAATACTCCCTCACGAACAATTAAGTGATTGTTCAAAGCCTTGAGCATTTTAATACTAGGAATCCTGGAAGAAACTGCATTTTCTGACCTATATTTATGTCTTGTACAGTGTCCAAAATGGTATGTTTAGGGTTTGAATTCTGTGACGTTAATGGCTGTTTCTTTTCATGTTTCTGGAGCCCCACTGTTCTGAAGCTAATAATAAGTCGTGTTTTAGCCAGTGCTTTGTTACTTTGGAATCTCTTTCAAAACGGCTGGAACATACATACCCTTTCTCTTGAAGCATTAATGAACCTGTCAAACTCATCCCTGCTGCAATCACAGAGAAGTAGAAATCTGTTTGAGGAGTTGACCAGGTTTACATTTCACTGCAAGCTGTGTTCTGTGTAACTGTGTATGTGACAAAAAACTTTAATATTGAATCTTGATGACTTCGACATCTTCAACGTATTATTGTGATTATTGCGACTTCACTGGCAGAGGTCACAAATGACTTGAAACCTGAAATATGAGATATGCCAGCACAGAAATACATGTAAAAATATCCTTGTACATAATATCAGTAATTGTTTAATTAATTGCACTGTTGTACATGAAATCCCTCCAAGATTTGGTTAAAGTAGTGTGGCCAAGTACTCGGAATTAGTGCTCTGCATTTATCCCATCCAAAGTGCACACACACAGCAGTGAACACACACACGGAGCAGTGGGCAGCCATTTTTTGCTGCGGCGCCTGGGGAGCAGTTGGGGGTTCGGTGCCTTGCTCAAGGGCACCTCAGTCGTGGTATTGAAGGTGGAAGAGAGTGCTGTACATTCACTCCCCCCACCTACAATCCCTGCCGGTATGAGACTCGAACCACGACTTCCCCAAGTAGTGCAAGTAGTGCATTCTAAAATGAGCAAGTGATTAAAAGACGCTGTTGTTGTTAAACTGCAAATACTATAGCAGGTGTTCATCCATACTTTTTAATTAGAGGTATACACAGGTCCACTTGGATCTGAAAACCCGGGGTCTGACACGAGACCCGAGCGGGTTCGGATCGAAAACTTCGACGAGTGCCTCGGACACTTAATTACGCTGTGTGTTAATGTAGGG